GCCTGGGCAGAGCAGGCTGTCTGCTCCGAGAGACATGCTATCGGGCAGAACAAATGCAAAGCAGCATCCTCACTTTTGGAGAGTTTATTGTGAAATTGTTAAAAATGTTTGCTGCTAGTGCCATCTCTCCTCCATTTTCCTTTTTTTCCTGCTTCTAGGGACACTCTGCAAGGTTTTGGCTGTCACTCTTTCCTCTGTACCTTTAGAAAATGCCTAATTAGGTTATCTCCTATAGCTTATCCTTTAGATTTTAAGGAAATGGCTGGTAAGTGAGGTTTCACGGGAGCGAGAGGGGGCACCGTGTGCTGGGCAGCAAATTCGCTTCAGTTCTCCCGCCCGCCTGGAGCCCCAGGCCATCCCTGCCCGGAGCCCCAGAGGGAGGAGCAGAGGGATGCCGGATTCCGTCTTATTTCAGGAATTGGCTGTTTCTCAAGGTAGTTGTTTTAGAGCAAGTGGTCAGTGACATGAGTCATGATCGCATGGTTATGCGATTTGAGGAAGCTTAAACCCAGGTAACAAGCTTCCTTAAACCCAGGTAACTGCCAGCGGCTGCAGCTCGAGCCCYCGTGGATTAAGGGAATGCATCCCACCTCGGCGAGGCTGTGCCTGCTGGCAGCCAGCGCGCGCAGGAGCAAACTGCCTTTCTCTCGCGCTCAGTCAAAGACGATAGAAAGTCTTCTGGGGATTCTTGCACATTTGTCGAGCAACAATGGGAAGCAGCTCAGCACAAATGCTCATTCTTCCTCCCCAGCATCGCGGGTGTGCCTTTGTCTCACATCTGGCCCGGCCTAATAGCTCAAAGCCGAGAGCAGCAGCGATTTAGCAGCTTATGGTAAATAAAGCGTTATTAAAATGACTTCCTTTTTCAAGTGTTTAATGATTAAAATGGCCTTTCACCTGACATTTCGCGCTCTTCGTTGTCTCGAGTGCTGTATCTAGCAAGGGAAATAAAACAGTTGTCAGGGATAGATATTAAACTTTTTTTCCCGTTTTACCCTCAGAAGGAGAATATTGAAGAGCATCTTGGAAAGACCACAAAGCAGATGCCAACACGGGAGCCCCTGCCGCGCGGGGAGCCTGGCCCTGCCGCGGCCTCCCTTGCCCTCGTGGAGGCTGTTGAGGCTGGCAGGGCGCGCAGCTCTCCAGAAGTGCGTGGGGAAGCCCTGTTACTGGTAAAACAATCATGAACGTGTGGCTCCAAATTTCAGACAGCACAGGGAATAACAGAAGGCTGTGGAAATATCTTTTAGCCACTACATAATTTCATGCCTTTTTTTTTTAATATTGAATCGTGTCTAACAAGGACTTAATGAAGAAAGAATAGGTACATTTAGGGTTAAAAAGATGTCTAACAGGTCACTACATCTGTTCCTTTTTAAAAAAACAAAGAAAAGCATTTTCCATTTTTGAGATATCATATAAATATGTAAGTGAGACCTCTTTAATTACTGCCTAGGGCTATAAACTTGCATGCTAGAGGGGAGGGAAGAAGGAAGGAGAAGAATAACCCCCTATTTTTAGGGAGTGTGGTGAGGTGAGTCATTACCCCAGAAAAGACAATAGAAGAATGGGGTTTCTGATCGCTGYGTGACCGGGAGGTGTGAGGAGCAGCGCATCTTTCTGGCTCGTCCCTTCAGATGGAGCTCGCATGGAACAGCAGTGCCGGCCTCTCCGGCCACGGTGTGCACAAACCCGAGGGGATTTTGTCCCACAGCTCCCTGCATGGTTCCCTTCTCTGTCCTRCTCTGTCTCTGCCCTTAATCCTGGTCTGCCCCATCCATCCCCTGCTCCTCTCGGGAGCCGGGCCCGCGTCCCCGCGTGGTTTCTAATAGCGCCAGGCTAGACACTGCTGAGTCGTTTCCACCCGTGGCCTGAGCAGCRCTTGGCACAATAAAAGTCTGCTCTTATTCCCCCCTCCTGGCCTTGCTGCTGCTTAAGCACTGTTATTTTAGAGTAAGATGGTCTTGCTTCTACTTTTAAAATGGTGTGAGATAGAGAAGAAAAGGTTGTTTTCAGTTTTGTTTGTTTGTTTGGAGTGTTGGAGAAGGGATGTGCACGTGGGCACTGGAGCAGTGCGYGGCTTCCCCCGGATGAGCCAGAGCCTCCCGCCCGCTGAGCAGGAGCCTCCGTGCGCCGCTCCCTGCGCGCCGGAGCGGGAGCAGCCCGGCTGAGCAGCGCAGGGCTGAGCAGCAGGGTTGGCAGCACCCGCCTGAGGCGGGAAGGGGGCCCTGCCATGCAGACAGCACTGACCACACTGGAGCGAGGGGAGTTAGCAGATCCTGAGCCCCATGCTCGATGCTGGAGTGAGTGGAGTTCAGGATGGATGTGAAGAGCCATCCTGGCCACGCAGAGCAGGCAGGAGGCAGAGCCTTTGTGCACCAACCCAGTGGTGCCGAGAGCAGAACTGCTTTGGAGACAGAGCTGGATCAGTTTGTGCACAGCCACAGCCTGGATTTCCTTCCTTTAAGGAAGGGGACTGCACTGCCAGCCCTCGCCGTGGAGGGGTCTCCATCCATGTGCGCTAACAGGCGTCAGTTATTTCTGTGCTCTGCGCTGTGGTTTCCCAAGCAGCGTTGGAGGAGCTCGYGCCACGTGCTGGAAATGACAACCGGGACAAACACGATGGTGGTCATGACTAGGGTAGCTGAGAGCCGCCCGGGTCTCTGTGCGGTGAGCAGGAAGGAGCGGCTCGGGGCAGGATGATATCCACAGTTCATAAATCAACGTGCAGGATCATTTGCCGTGTGGGTGGCAGTGCGTGAATGCAGGTCGGTACCATTGCCTTGGTGCAGCCTCCGAGCCCGGAGTGCTGCCGGCCGCACCAGGGGCAGCTCCTGGGGWGATTCGCCCTCGCTCTGGGCACTGCTCCGTCTGGCTGTACTCGAGAATCCTGTTTTCTGGCAGCGCCAAGTGCCTCTCTGTTGCCTGAGATAAATGTTCTTTGCAGAGCGGCTCCCAGGGCCTCTGCGTGGCTGCACAGCAGTGAGGTGGTTAAAATGATAATGCCAAAGATGATGACAACTGAACCACAAAGTTAACCAGGTCTTTGGTATTTTGCTTCCTGGTTCATTAAGAAAAAAATGGAGTAGCTTCCAAAATAATAATAGAAAAAAGAAAGCAGCAGATTGTTTAAGTATTTCAGGAAAAGCAAGAATGTGTTTATATTTGCTTTTAACATGCTGTCCTCTGTCTTTCCTGCTGTTCAATTAAAATGCAGATGATGTGTCCCAGCTTGTAAGATGGATCGCTGCTGGAGTGGAGTCGTGTCTGGGCTACCTTATCTCATGATAAATACCTTTGCTGTCCACGGAGAGATTAAACCTCGTGACTGCCGAGGTTTCTTTGGGGGTCTTACAGGCAGATAAGCCCGTGTTAGTAAAATAGGCCAACTTAGGTTTGCTACAGGACCCCTGGATGGCGTTTGTCATTGAGAAGGTGACAGGGGCACAAGCAGAGGATAGTACGTGCATGTGAGACTGGTATTACTGTATCGTAGGAATTGCAGCTCGTTAACAGGAGGGCTTTACTGTGTCTAGAGCGGGGAGATGCGGAGCAAGCAGGACGGGCACATGGAACCTTGGCTCCCGCGGCCGTGCGGGAAGGAGCCGTGACCAACAGACCCCTCGGATGGGAGAGTTGCCCAGGGCAAAGGCTGCTCTGCAGGTCCCAGACCCTGCTGGTGCTCGTGTGAAATTCATGCTCACGTAAACATAGTGTTTGGATGCTTATTCCTGCACCCGTGCCCGCTCGCTGCTCTGGAGCTTGGAAGTGCAAGTTTTTAGGTTGTGCTCCCTCACTGCTGTGCAAGGGTGCAGGAATTTAGGGGTGAAGGCTGCCTTCATGTTAGTGTGCGATATTTACGGATTCATTTCCATTTTCAAATGCCATGAAAATGATTGAAGCAGGAGAGGAGAGTGTATACATGTGTGTGTGACACATCTTGGTGCCCTTAGCTGAGAAGCAAGTTCCAGGAAAAAGCCTTTATAACTGCTAGGCTTAGCAAGCACAGGCCGGAGTCTCAAGCAGTTCTGCTTAAAACATAAATAAAAGTCACACCACGCACTGTATGGTGGTATGAGTTATGGACAGAAGCTGCTGATCAGGTGCTGATTCCTGCCTTTGGGACAAGCTCTGTTTCCTGGGACGGACGGGATGGGCTTGGCCTCCAGGTGTGTTCCTGCTGCAGCTGAGCCCGGGGCATGGACGGTTTTCCAAAGTCCGGAGCGGCTCGTTCCGCTCCAAAAGGGGAGCGGGGAGCATCGGAGCGCTCTGCTGGGAGCTGGGGCTGCTCCTTGCGCACCCATGGGTGCGTGGGGCGCTTCCAGGAGCTCCCAAAATCCTGGGACCTGAATCCCAGGCCCCTGCCGCTGTCATCTCAAGGACACCTCAAATTGATCTACTAGATTTAATATTGTGGGAAAATCCAGTGCATACCGGGTGCTTTTATTTCAAAACAGAAATTCAGTTTTCCTATCACTTCRGACCAGTAACATGTTTTGTGTTATTTCTGGCCATATAATACTCTGCCATATCTGATTCATTTAATATTTATGAGAGGTGTTTTCTCCTGGTGGAAGATTAGGAGGAATCGCCATGCCCTTGCCCTTGCAAAGCCCAGGCTGTCATTGTTATCATGATTATTATTTTTTTTATCTCCAAATGTGCTCGGGGTTCTTGCAAGCAGCGCTGCTCCGTCATTTTAGTGCCATTTGTGTGATAATCCTTTGAGTAAAGGGAGCCTTTGTCAGTGGCCTCACAGAGGCTCCCTGGGGAGCCTGCGGTACCTGACCGGGTGTCCTGGTGTGACTTGGGAATGTCGCTCCGGAGCCGAGCCGGGTGCGGAGCCACCAGTGCCRCGGCCTCCGCAAGCCACAGGGAAAAGTCATCACCCCGGGGGGATAAAGAGCCGCTGTGCAAATCCCAGGATCTCGCTCGCCGTGGAGCTGGTACCGGTGCATGGGCTGTGTTCAGTGATCTCTCCTCTTCTTTTTGTCTTGCAGATTGAGGGATTTTAATGGCTTTCAGGTAGAAGCCAAGTGGAGACAATCAAAATGAATTCTATGGACAGGCACATACAGCAGACCAATGACCGGCTGCAGTGCATAAAACAGGTAAGCTGAGGTGGAGAGCGCCGCTGCGGGGGAGCGCAGCCCGCTGGGCCTTCGGGCTGCCTGCTGCTGCTGTCATGAATTGCCTTGGATAGCCTGTTATTGGGGAGGACAGTGGCAGGAATGAGGCATCTAACCTGTCGGAAGAGAACTTGCTGCAGGAACTGCTCTATAAACCCAAGCCAACCTTTGTGGTTCTCCCGGCTAAGGAATCTGAAGCCTGGAGACTCACGGAGTCTGCCTTGGCTCCCAGCAGGACGGGGCTGGCCCTGCCCTGGCCTCCCYGGCACAGTTGTAGTGAGGAGCCCTCTTGCTTGGGCTCGGAGCTAAGGAAGGCTCCGAGCCTTCCTTTGATGGGCCAGTTTTAATTCTGAGGCACTGTCTGAGCTGAGACCTGCGCTTGCCTGGAAGGGTCAAGCTTAGATGGTGGGCATGCCTCTAAGTGCTCAGGTTGATTGGCTTGCATGGAAGGAGAAGTAAAGTAAAAATTTTACTAAAAAAGCAGCACACGGGTTATTCTCAAGTCAGTTTTCTCAGAGTTCATCTTACAGATCTTCTGAAGCTTTCCAGAATTGGTTGAAATTTTCCAAATTAATATGAAATGTAAGAGTAATGTAAAAACATAYGGAGATTATTCAATCAATGTTCATAACCCATTTTTTTCTGTTATCTGAGCAGTTTTCTCTGTCATACTCTGTCACTTAGTCACTATTTAGACAATAGCATGTGTAGAGACTGGAGTTTTGCTGTCTGAGGTCTGCATTTTTTTTTTTTTATCAATTATTATTTATCAATTATCAATTATTATACAATTTATTGTATTTTTATCAATTTACTGTAAGTTAAAAATCTCCCTGCCTACTTTAACAGTGAGGCACGTGTATATTGTCTTTTGAAGGAAGGCAGCACATTGTGGTTGGACCTGTTGATCTTGAAGGTCTTTTCCAACCACAATAATTCTGTGATTCTCTGACTTCTCTTCATGATTTTCCTTCTGTGGTAGACACAAGGACTGTAAATTGGAGAAACTGATATAAAGTAAGCAGGGGAATGGTGCTGGATAGGTCTTGATTGCTAAACTAAATTCATTTGCTTTTATCTGTTTTCATTCTCTCAGCTGTCTAGTTTATTACTAAGAGGATTATAGATCCTAGAATGTGCTTTAATGTAAAGAACATAAAATGTGTGTTTATTTGCTAGTCTATTCTAGCCATGCCATTGCTTTGGGGGATATATATAAAAAAAAGGGGGGTTATATCTAAAACAGATGACTTTTCCCCCTTAGATTCTTCAGGAAAAAGGACTTTGGAATAAATCAGGTGAGGCTGGTTCATGGGTCAGGGACSCGAAGCAGGCCTCGTCCCTGCAGAGCAGCTAGTCCTCATGCAGCCTCGGTTTGTGGTGGCCCGCTCGCTCTCGCTTTCATCACTCCGTGGTGAAAGTTAATGCATCTCATCGCTCCTTAGAAGCCTGAGGGAAATGAATTTGGGGATTTCATCCCAGCTGCTTATGAGCAAGTATTTGGTTCAGAAAACGCCTGCCCTTGGCTAGCACTAATTGGTGTCCTTTTGGCCACCCTAGCCCAGGGAATGAAGAATGAAGCRACTCACGGAACAATTTAACCTTTCTGGCTGTAAGAACAAACCTTCAGATCAGGCGGAGATAAATGGAGGATGCTGCTCTCTTCTAGACCTGCCAGTTTCTGTGCACACGGAATTTGTATTATTTTAATAGGATAAAAGAACATCAAACAGTATTTCTTAAAGTCTTAAGGAGGTATTTATGGCTCTAATGAGTGCTCTGTGAGTTGAACTACTAAGTTCATTTTTGTGTATTGCTGGTTTGCATAGGTGGTTAGAATATATTTCTTCAGCAGTGGAGGCAGAGAGAAAGGCAGGGGCAGGCCAGGCTTTTACCCATGTGTGGAACTGTCTCAGTTTCATTGCTTCCCCTCTGGAGGAAAGTCCCAAGTTTTTGGGTGGGCAGGGGCACGTGTAACCCARCAAAGGATCCCAAAAGGCAGCGTCCTCCGTGGCCATGCTGTGAATTCACAGTCCCTGTTTTGGGCAGATGTCTCAATAAGAGAATATTGACTGTGCTTGCCTGAGTGTTTTTGCTTCCCAGCTCCCTGGCTGCGAGACACCCGCGGTATCCTGCACGGCTCCTCTTGCAGGATCAAGGTCCTGCTTCGCTTTCATCTTTTTCTAGCGTTTTGCAGCTACACAGCCAAAAACTTGTGCGTGATCAGCTAGCTAGGAAATGAAGTGTGTGTTAAAAACTGGCGCAGAATAGATGTAAAGGGCAATCTGAAGTGGTGGCTGTGTATTTACTGCTTAAAAAAAAAAAAAAAAAAAAAAGGCAGCAGACTTCTGTGAGAAGCCGGAGCAGCTTGTGTGGTCTCCTTGTAGCTGCTGCTTTCAGTGTTTGCTGAAATCACACGCAGATTTTTCAGTGTTCGGTGGAAGAAGCCAAAGCAACAGACGCCCCCCGCGCGCGGCGGCGGCTCCCACGCCGGTTTCGCGGCTCGTTCTCGGTTTCTGGCCCCCAGAACCAGCCTCCCTGCGCTCCCGTTATCCGCAGGGGGCTCCTGGGCCGCGGCCCGTCAGGTGCGGGCAATATTTCAGCCCCATTCCCATCCTCGTGCAGCACTTGGGTTTTGGTTGCTTGCAGGTCAGAGGAAAGGAGAGTTCTCTGGCTGTTTGCCTAACTGGCAGCGTTTAAATCCCGGGACAAAGTCATCCTGCTTCTCCAGGTTGTTTTTGAGGATGCGTGTAGATGCTCAGCAGCCCTAACTGTAATGACATTTYGGTGTATTTTGGATTAGTTGGTGTAGATTGGTATGAATTTGAGTTGAAAAGGTTTTAGTGAAGCTTCACTAAAACTTCCAGTCCCTATGAATTTTGAAAGTTAGCAGCACTGTTATGAAGGGCATGTTTGCCTAGAAATGCACACTTTTTGGCTGCAACGTAGGTACATGTTACAGGGTTTTTTAGGACTTACACATGGAATAACATGCAGCAGTGAGACTGATGGCAAAGCGATGCTTTCCTTCCCTAACAAGGCCACTTGAGGGGCYGAAAATGTTCCAGTTTATTGGTTGAATGATCCATCACCGCTGTGTTTCCTTGCTATGCTTTCTCTTTTTCTTTCCTGTGACCCATAGCTACAAATTCTTTGTCAGCTTCCTTGCTCAGACGGAGGGAACATGCAGTCTGCGGCGTTTGCCTGGCTCTCCCTTCACAGCGGCGGGTTCCCTGCCCATTCCCTTCATCAACAGATTACGCTGGGGAAAGCACAAAGCAGCTGACGTGGCTGTGTCTGCCATGAGGGGCTTCCTGGCAGAGCAAACGTCTCTTCTGCTTTGTTGATAGACCTGATTTTGCCAGCAGAAATCTGCTGGCACAGCACTGACCTGCTTGAAATCCTCATGCTCTTGTCCTTTCTTCTGAGCTTTGCAAAGTTCTCGCTATGGTTCCGMAATTCTTGTCTGGTAAGGATTTATATAAGTTTCCAAGGGTGCTTCAAGATGATCCATCCTGGGAAAAAAGAAGGTGCTTGTCAGCCCCATAGCCCTGCGCCATGGTGGGAATGAACGGGGCCTTGGGAATACCTGCGAGGGGCAGCATTTCCATGTGGCTCTTTGCAAGGCAGATCAGGGTGAGGGAAACGCTCAAGCAAACATGAGCAGCTACGTGTTGCTTTGTAGCACCATGCAATATTTTGTCCTTAGCTGACCCAGTCTGACAGACGTGGATTTTTCCTCTTCTGTCTAATTTGGGCTGCAGATTTCTATCTGCTGGAGATGAGGCAAGAGAGAGGTGCCCTGCCCAGAAAGGCAACGATACGGCTGCAGATGCAAGGTGATGGATCCTTCGGAAGAGAGGAGGATCCCTTTGGGGCTCCAGCACGTTTGCAAGAGCAGCAGGGGAACGAGGCAGTGGTAGGGAAGCCTCTCCTGCCTGGKTAAGGGCACGGCAGCCGCGTGCTAAAGCAAGGAGCAATCCTTTAAGCAGTTCAAGCATTTGGTACTTTGGGCTCATAATATTTTAGCCAGATGGATTAGTAAATAAGGATTTTGTTTATTGCGGCATTAAAGCACTAACGTAAAAGCAAGAGCAATGCTGAGAGTTATATATTTTGTTCGATAAAAGCTACACAGATAATTTAGGGTCATATTAAAGCAAGGTCTGGTAGGGCCATAAATAACACGAGAGGCTTGTAGAAATTTTGCAGACATTTTGGGACCCAGTATTCCTACATGGACTGGCTTAGAAACTCGTGGGTTTYGCTTTGGAAGCAGCAGCGTTGGAAATGAAATGTCATGTTTGGTTTCCTGCTACAGGTTTCTGGGAGCCAAAAGAAGCCTGAATAACAGAAGCTGAGACCACTTAATAGTGTGGGAGAGCTTTAATAAGAGTAGTCTGTTGCCTCAAAAGTGAATCTCTGAAGCTAATTCTTGGGAGTTGTTTGTTGCAATTCCTACAGTAATAACACCCAAATCTTAAACTATTTCTTACATTGTTTTGAAGCACAACTCAGAAAAAAGGGGCAAAAGTCTTTTTAGATTTCAGCTGAGTAAACTTTTGTCTTGCCAAGTTTGCTATGTAAAAGGGCCCCCAAATCTTTCTGCCAGAATTGTTCCTTTTGGCTTGAAATAGCTCTGTAAAGACTGACTGGTAGGGCCCATGAGACTGGACTGTGTGGATTTTACACGTGACACAGTGGCATCGGTTCATGTAGTGGTCATTTTAGTCACCTTGAGATTTTATCTCTTTATAGATTAAGAGATTAAAATAACAAAGATGAATTCTGTTGATTAAAAGTCCTATAAAAAGCACTATGCGTAAGTTATTAAATTGAGTCAAAAATTTATTGGAAAACAAAATATGTCAATGTAATGTAATGTTGCTTCACCGGGGTATACTAAAGACTGCTTTGTATTGTTCAGAACTAGCATATTTATTCTTTGGAAATCTAGAAAATGAAGAAATAAAATCAGTGCA